GTTGGCGGCGGCCGGGTCGTCGGCGAGCCGGACGAGGTGGGTGAAGTCGCTGAGCGTGGCGAGCGGGATGCGGCTCTGCTCGCGGCGCGCCAGGTGCTCCTTGGTCGACTCGAGGAACTGCTTTGACACGGCCGCCGCCCGGTCGCAGATCTCGTGGGGAACGCCGGCCAGCGCCGCCACCTGGGTGCCGTACGACGACTCGGCCACGCCGTCGACGAGCCGGTAACTGGAGGGGGAGCGAGTAGCGAGGAGACGAGCGAAGCGATGATGGGAGCGGTCAGCGTTTGCGCTGCGTCGGCGTCTGTCTGGGCCCCCTGGGGGGCCATGCCGGGACACTCACGTGAATACCACCTCGCGCCGGTCGTCGTCGACGAGGACCTGAAGGTGCTTGTTGCTGACGCGCGGGTAGCCCTGGAAGTCGTAGGCGAGGCTCGTATAATGGGTGAGGAAGAAGCTGAGGCAGCGGGTGCGGCTGACGAGGTGGTGGAGCACGGCAAAGGCGATGGCCTGGCCGTCGAAGGTCGAGGTGCCGCGGCCCAGCTCGTCCATGACGACGAGCGAGCGCGGCGTGCACTCGCGCACGATGCGCGACGCCTCGAGCATCTCGACCATAAAGGTGCTGTTGTTGCGGAAGATCTGGTCGTTGGCGCCCATGCGCGACGCGATGCGGTCGACGGGCGAGATGCGCGCCCGCAGCGCCGGCACGCGGCAGCCCAGCTGGGCGATGATGACGGCCGTCGCCGTGGTGCGCGCCGTCGTGCTCTTGCCGGCCATGTTGCCGCCGGTGAGGATGACGACCTCGTCGCTGTCGCCGCCGAGCCGGATGTCGTTGGGGATAAAGTCGACGCCCTCGGCGATGCACGGGTGGCGCAGCTCGTCGAACTCGACGAGGGCCGTGTCGTGCTCGACGAGCTCTGGGCGGCACGTGGGCTCGCCGATGGCGTACGACGCCTTGGCCAGGCTCAGCAGGCAGTCGACCTCGGCGACGGCCTTGACGGCCTCGACGTAGCGCGCGCTCTCCGCGACAAACTCGGCAAAGAGGGCGGCGTGGAACTGCTTGAGCGCGGCCAGCCGCGTCTCGCGCGCCTCCTTGAGCTCCTGCACCAGGTCGCGCACCTCGGGCGAGTAGAAGCGGTGGCGGTCCTTGGTGCCGCTGAGCTTGACCCAGCTGGCGGGCACCTTGGTCGTGGCGGGCACCTCGATCTGGTAGATGTCCTTGGTGCCGAGGTGCTTCCAGCCGCAGCGCGCCGCGTTGAGCTTGAGCAGGCGGCGGCACGCCTGCAGCTCGTCTTCGAGCTGCGCCTCGATGGCCAGCAGCGCCGCCTCGGCCTCGTCGTAGGGCGCAAACACGCCGCGCCGCGGCGTAAAGGAGCCGTCGTCGGCCAGCTGGAAGCGGCTGCGCAGCTCGCCGGCCAGCGCCGTCACGTCCGGGATCGACGCCAGCAGCGCCGCCACCCGGCCGCCGCCCTCGCCGGCAAACGACTCGGCCAGCGCGCGCAGCCGCTCGACGCTCTCGCGGAAGTGGCCAAACGCCGTCAGCACGCGGGTGAAGTCCTTCGGCCTGCACTTGCCGGCGTAGATGCGCGGGATGATGCGCTCGATGTCCGGCAGCTGCCTGGCGAACGCGTCAAAGGCCTCCTCGAAGGCGGGGCAGCCGAGGAAGTCGTCGACGGCGTCCTGGCGCGCGCGGATGGCGTCGATGTCGGCGAGCGGCGCCACCATCCAGATCTTGAAGAGGCGCTTGCCAAACGGCGTGGCGCAGCGGTTGAGGAGGCGGTGGAGCGTGCCGACGTCGGTGCCCTGGTCGTTCTGGAGCACGTTGAGGTGGGTCAGCGACTGGGCGTCGAGCACCATGCAGCGGTCCTGGCGCAGCGGATCAAAGATGTTGAAGTTGCGGCTGGAGCAGAGGTCGCGTTCGAGGTTGAGGGTGGCGAGGTACGACAGCATCGCGCCGAGCGCCGACATGGCCGCGTCGCGGTCGAGCATCGAGGCGA